TGGCGGAGGAGGAGGAGAGAGTGTAGGTAGATGCAGCGCAAGTCTACCCGCACTATAAACCCCTGCGCAAGTCACCGTCCCTGCTCCCACCTGGTGTGGGGCACACGGTGGACATCGTCGAAATCGACGGTCGAACTGTCATTCTGGGAGAATTGTATGAATTTTGCGCAGATAGGTTTCACAGCGCGCACGTCTAATGTCCATCCTACTTATAGACCGTAAGTAGCAGGGAAACGCTGTACACGAGAGTCTTGGATGTCAGCTTCAGAGCGACGCGAACTATGTCCCATCCTGTAATCAGGTCTAACTGGTGGAGGATATTTCCAGTTGACTTGGAATATCTTCGATATCAGGCGACAGAGCCTGGCCCAATGGCCCCGACATTTCCTGTCTGGAAGTGGGATGTGCAGTGCCAACTTCGGCCGCTTCAGTCTCCTGTTCATATTGCGGCCAACCAGTCATGGCCGGTCCTCGTTCTCGAACTTGCAGACCATAACCTGGACGGGGGTATTCTCGACAGGGTCAAGCAAATGAACTTGAGCATGGTTTCATCTGTCGACAACAGCAGTTCAGGCAAGGCATAGCGTACTGCTGGACTCGGTCTGCCGATAGAAGCTAAGATGCGAGTTCAAGGAAACAGTCGCGAAGAAGGAGGCCTAGCGTGTCCTATCAAATTTCGGCCGTCGCGCGGAGCATGGACTTCTTGAGAATATGGGCGTAGTTCCTCAAACCGGACGATATCCTATGAACTCGAAACAACAGAACGCAATGGTGGTGCGGATTAGTAGTAGTAGTAGTAGTAGTAGTAGTAGTAGCGGTCGTAGTAATAGTAGCGGTAGTAGTAGTAGCCTTTTGCGTTGAATTTGTTTTTGGGGGCACTACAGTGAGCCAACATGGCTACCTGCAAGTGCCGAAGCGATTGCTTGGGCCACTGAGAAAACGAAAGACCTGTATTTTGACCATCGGGGAACTGGCTGTCTCATGATGACAACACGCCTGCTCATTCTGCGTTCGTAATCAAATAGTTTTTTGCGAAAAAAGATATGACAAGGGTTTTTCTTCCCTACTATACGCCCAACCTTATTTCAAAGAACAAGGAAAAGCCTAGAGTGAAGACGTTTTCAGAACGTAGAAGAGGTTGAGAAAAAATAGCTGGAGGCCTTTAACAACATTGCTTCAGAAGAATATAAAAATGTTTCGGACAGTGGACAAGCCATTGGGACAAGCACATATCGCCCACTGAACAGTATTTTGAAGTAGATTTGTATGTTAGAGATGTTATTTTAAATAATAAATTTAAATAAATCTGGTTTTTTAGGGTACATCCTTGTACAGTGAGTGACCGATCTCATGAAATGCGCTGTCTACTGCGAAGTATTACTTAGGTGGAGTTGTAACACGGATTATCTTACGGCATAATCCTTTAATATTTCGGACTTTCCAGCATGTCGGCTTCTGAATGAACTTCTTTTTGACCACCTGTAAAAAACGCGCTTGGTAAAAAATAGCTACTTAAGTAGCGTTAATTTTTTCAGGCTAACTTTTAATGGTCTTATAAACTCCCTTATATTTTGAAGAACACATGCACAAAACATGCTTTCTTTTACTCATTTTGTAGAAAATCACGCTGCCTTTACATCTTTTACTCGAAGAAAGTGTACATTTGGGTTTTGAAAAGGTCCTTCAAATCCCGAATAATCTTCAGCCAGACCAGCCGTTGCATTAGTGTCCAGCGATTTCAGTCTACAAGGTGTATGCTTTCCGCGTAAGGAAAATCATATTCTCCCCTTTGCCTCTAGAAAGTAGCCATATAGAGTTCATAATATTTTGTAATTGATGTGGACTACGTTGGGCATTTGAAGAGCAGCATTGGCAAGCGGACAATTATGATGCTATATGAATAGACGCTGCACGGTCTTTAAAAATCTTATAATTAAAAACTTTAAAGCCAAAAGATATTCCTTCTCTGAGTATAAAATATAAGGACAACATGATTTTCCA